AGAAAATTCTGTCAAAGATGTATCAAAAGGACCACCTTAGGAGTTTACTTTCCTCCTCCAAAATCATGCATTTATAAATCCAAGATTAAAGTCGAAAGAAGCTATATTTCAGGAAGAAATTGTTGTAATTGATGCTCCAAGATTTGAAACGTCGATCGAACGATACGTTGTTCATGAGAATGAGACGGTCACTATTAGCACATTCGTAACCGGAACACCGACACCATTTATCGAATGGTATTTTAAGGACCAAAAACTTCGAGTCAACGAGTAGGTTTTGAATTCAATAGTGGAGTTAGAAGCGACCAGAATTGATACCATAACTGTTTGCTATGGAAAAATATTTAAAAATTCAGATTACAGGGAAATATTCTAATCAGCTTCTTACAAGACCCTAGAAAATTCTGCAAATCTTTTTTAACCTACTTTTCAAACTTCACTCTTCTCCAGAAAATACGACCACTTTCAAACAGAGTTAAACCAAAAAATCTAGTGCTTAATTGGACTGTAAACGAGATCCAAAAACATACATATTCAGGCAAATCAGCATGGGTTACGAGAACAAAGTTGCAACCCTAATCTTGAAAAACGTCAACAAACTCCAAGAGGGTACTTACTATTGTCATGCTACTAATATACATGGTACAACGGTACTTCCTAGTGAAGTCAAGGTCTTACCGGGTAAGATCAATTTCTATTTTAGATTTTATCGAATCTCATTGCAGAGGAGTCACAAATTCAACTTTTTATAGGAAAAGCCAGCGACACGATTCGTTTGACTCTAGCCCAATACAACAAGCGCGAGGAAGGCGAACAGCTTGTCACAAATATTTTCGCATATCATAAAGACGAACAATTCGAAGAAGCCATTAAGCTGCATGCACCAGATAAAGCCAGTGAATCTGCAAAAATTGCAGTAGCTCTTCAGCCTTCTGGAGCGCAAATCCCACCAGCTGAAAAAGCGAAACCAGAATCCGTACCTATGGGCATCCCCATACTTGTCCATCCTGCTGAAGAATCTCTGCCTGTACAAGTGCATCCAGCAGAAGTTGTATCAGATATGGCGAAACAACCTTCGCCGGTTGTTCCAATAACAGAAGAAGCGCATCCTGCTACAGTAAAGTCAGTAGGAGAAACTGTTCCCACAATTTTGAGAGAAACGGAAGTACCCACAATAGCTGTGCGAATAGAGAAAGAACAACATG